CAGCCCTGGAGGACAGAAGCTGGTCCAGGGTGGAAGGAAGACGGCGAGACTCCAGTCAAGATACGGCGGTTGCGGAGTCTGCGGTGGTTGTGGTGTCTGCTGCAGCGCTTGGAGTCCTCAGGAAGCGCTAGGAGCATCCGTCAACGGAGGGTACTCAGTCGGAGTACAAGGAGCTCCGTTACAGATAGGTTTTAAAAACCTAACCCTAAGTCTACACGCACACTTGTTCCTATCAAGATATGTGGCATTGATTGCTGTTATCTGTGCATTATCGCAAATAAGCAGGCTTTTACGGACAGTGGAAGAATATACTGAATATGAGACCACGGGGCCCCAGTATCCATACATAATCTGGTGGTGGTACAGCATCGGTATGTTTTCACTTTATGCTCTAACATATGAACAGAGTGTGTCCAGTATATGCTCCACGTATGGGTTACTATAAGGACACGGCCTCAGTGTATGTATCCACTACATGCTCTATGTTTGAGTTACTATGAGGATAAAGCCTCAGTATATATATCCACTACATGCTCTTTGTAGGAGTTACTAGGAGGATACGGCCTCAGTATATATATCCACTATATGGTCTATGTAAGAGTTACTGTGAGTACACTGCCTCAGCATAAGTATCCTCTATATGATATATATATATATATATATATATATATATATATATATATATATATATATATATATATGAGTTTCTATTGAGACACAGCCTCAGTATATGTATCCGCTATATGCTCTGTGTGAGGTTTTTATGGGGACAGCCTCAGTATATGTATCCATTATAGGCTCTATGTATGAGTTACAATGAGGACACTGCCTCAGTTTATGTATGCACTACATGCTCTATGTGTGAGTTACTGTGAGGACACAGCCTCAGTATATGTACACACTATAGGATATATGTATGAGTTACTATGGGGACACAGCCTCAGTTTATGTATCCACTATATTGTCTACGTATGAGATGATCGGAAGTCTCGGCCTCAGTTTGTGTTCTTTATTTGCTCTGATAACACAGCCTCAGTATATGTCCTCTACATGCTCTATATGTAAGTTGGTGTGGACATTGCTTCAGTGGATCTGTTCACTATATGCTTGATGTATTAGTGGAAACACAATATAGGTGAAAGATATGACACATCCTCTGAGTCCAATCTAATACAGGTTTTTTTGTGGGGGTTATTCACAACCTCAGTATATATGAGTGGTGTAATATGTGCATGAAGTTCTGTTGAAAACAGCCTCAATTTATCTCACTCATATAATCTTAATATGTGTGCAGGCATAGTGTCACTGTATATAGCAGAGGTAGGCTATGTATGATTACGGTTTAACCCATTAAGGACACATGACATGTGATGATTCCCTTTTATTCCAGAAGTTTGGTCCTTAAGGGGTTAAACAGACTCCATATATGTAACTGTGCATAAGGTGCTGTTAGAAACATCCACAATGTATGCAGGTTGGTAGTATTAGATAACCCTAATTTATACACGGCATTGGTAGATTTAATATATACAAATGATCTAAGGTCTGTTTTGCGCTGAAATGTAGCACTGCCCAATTCTAGCAAATACAAATGCACTGTTATACTGGGTAAGTAATTATTGCCTACTGTGGATTTTCTATTTCAGTTTTTTTAAATAAAGTTAATAAGGAAGCACACTGCTTTTGGCTTTATATTAGATTCCTTCTCCCACAGGTGTTTCAGGATAAGCAATTAACACATTTTACCACTTCAGATGGATTGCAGGTGTTACCGAACCTGTCTGAGTGCCTCTCCCAGGAGAGAGGGAGACCTGTTTTCCAAAATGAAGCATGGTAATGTTTAACATAATCAGTTTTTTTTTTGTGTGCACTCCTATGTATATATACATGAGATCATTCTACAAAAGATTTTCTATTGCCAGGTATCCTCTCCTCTCTGATCAAGGTAGGGAATGTTTTTTTTTTTGTTTTTTTTTTTGTTTTTTTTTTTTTATTTTTTTTTAATTTTGGTGGCAGTGTTAACCTTCAGATATAGGCTGATTACTGATACACAGCTTAGTAGATCATACTGGTTGTAGGAGCACAAATTGGGCTATTAATCGTTCTCATAAGTAGGTAACTCTGAAGCTATTACCTGATTTAAAAAGCTGTTCATATTGGCTTGTTTCTCTCCTGGTCTTAACTTTAGTATCATTTTATTTTTCCGCAAACTTCTACTCTAAAGAATTCACTACTTCTGGTCTGGTTTGTGCTTTTTATTAAGTTTTTAACTCAGTTCTCTGGAATTGGTTTAACATTCTTTAGAACTGAGTACATTTCCTTAAAGCATAATCTTTATAATTTGGAGAATGTACTAATTTTTATATGCAGTATTCTCTCTTATCCCTTGGGGACCTGAGAGTTTGGCAATCCCTTTAGTATATGTCAGGGGTGGCATGCTTTTGGTTCTTAAGGAGTTAATGTTCAGAAACTTCTGACAGATACCCTTGTGGTGAAAGGGAATATTATAATTTCCTTTCTGCAATTAAATGTATTCTTTTATGCTCATATGATCCAGGTAAGTTTTTGATACTTAGTATTGCAAGTATTTTAATTGACACTGGAAGGTCTTTCTAGTCCCCAGGCAGTTCTACCAGGTTTACTATTTCAGGTAAAAGTCACCTGCTGCCTGAACAATAGAGGAAATCCCTAAACAGGTAGTTCCATTACGGACCTCTCTTCTGATATTCATGGAGATTCTTCTAGGTGTCCTTATATCTGGAATTTGCAACCAATGTGTGGTTTAGGGGGTTGATTCATCCTGCGTAATATAATGTAATGCAGTTTGCTGATGACAAACATTTGACTGTTTTTCATGGTCTCTGACCTAGATCGGTATAAATTATGGTCACTCCTAACATTGCATTGATTTAATCCTTGTGGATTATATGTTTTGGATTGGTGTTGATATCTTGCAGATATAACAAGCTGCTTATTATCGCCATAGGCTCTGCCCTAAGTACTTCATCACTATCTGAAGATAAGGTAAGAGCAAGTATGTGGTTGTTGTTCTCATAAGGATAACCGAATATCTTCTACTATCCTGCTTATTATGTGTCTGTTGCCACAATGTATCATGTGCCTATTCCATATCTTTTACTTATGTTGCACAACAGTCTTTAATAAATTTGATTATACTGTTTGGCATAATCTGTACTATTTACAATATGTATCTTTGAATGTAGGTACTGACATGATTGGCTTTTTTTTTTTTTTAACTAATCTGTATATGATTCTTCTTGCCTTTGCCTAGTAATGTCATTGGTGTATACCTCTCCTGTGACTGATCATTGTATCAATTCATCCACGGTGTGAGGCTCTGCCTCTTTCTGACAGGCCGGTATTGATTTGTTTCCTGTATCCACAGGTAAGTAGTTCACAAGGCACAAGGAAGCAGTGTGAATCGTCAATGATTACATCCAGAAAGTAGTAGGATTCTCAGTGTAATTCTCCCCATGTTTAATAGCATGGTGTGTCCGTTCTCATCCAACATTCTGTTATAACTTTCTCAAGGTTCTGATATGATGAGGTCATCAATTTGGTTTTAAATTTTATATCAAAATGGCATTATCCTTATCCAATTTACGCTATCATGGCCTTAATTCCTTTCTGACTCTATTTTTTTCAGGATATTTCAGACATTTGAATGCCAGGAGGTTGCAGACCTTGCAGCCTCTAGGTTAATTAACTTGTCTGAGCAGAATGTATGACAATATCCTATTGATTACTGGTTTGGCTTTTTTAAAGTCTTCTAAGGTTTATGCAGCCCAATAATGTTTGTATAACTATTGGCTGTTTTTGAACTCTGTCCCTCCCTCGATATATACTGCTTGGGTATTCCCCATGAATGTCAGGAAAAAAGGAAAATTGTTTCATACTTAACGTAATCTTTTCCTGATAATATAATGTTTCACTTTTTTCAGTTTGTGTAATGTTTGCTGCACACCCAATAAAGAAACCCTGTCTACTAGTGAGTTATAAAAACCTGACTCAGAGCAGTGTTGCATTGTAGAGAGAGAGTTGCAGTGTTACCATAACACCCAAAATGTAACCATATCCTGGAGCCCAAGGAAGCAGCTCAAAAAATTAAATCCTATTTACAAAGATTAAACCCCAATAGCTGCAGCGAAGGTTTTATCTTATGGCTTTAATGACATGCCAGGTGCCAATGAGATCCCTTCCATTAGTAGTTTAAATCTACACATGTGACCGCTTCAAGATACAAATGATAAAAGGAGAGCTCAGTTAATCCGTGTCTACAATATCAAAGTATGTCTAGATAGGTGTTAGGTAGAAACCAATAATACATGTCTGCTAAAAAGTACTCACAAATGAACGCACCCAATCAGCAACTCAAGGTGGCCAAGCCCCTAAAAAAATCTAGTTTTCATTTATGCAGTCTATGTAGGCTAAGGCAATATGTGTCCCCATCTATTGTGGCAAGGATTAAGGAACACAGCGCATGCATCAGTCTATTTCAGGGGTGGGCAACGTTCTGCACTCCAGATGTTGTGGACTACATTTCCCATAATGCTCTCTCAGCCATAATGTTGGCAACACATGAGGGGAGATGCGGTCCAGAACATCTGGAGTCTGGATATGTTAAAATAGTCTGTTTGTGCCTATCCATAGGTTGGAGAAGACAGAAAGCAAGGATCTCACATTAATATGGCCCCCAGATGTTGATGGTCAAAAACTCCCAGAAGTCTTTGAATCCAACAGATGGCCAGAGACTCATGGAAGTTGTAGTACAGCAACCTCTGGGGGACCAGAGACCGAGATATCTGTACAAACGGAAAAAGCAGCACCTGGCTCAGTTGGAGAGGGCAGTGCATAACAGGGGGAAAGGGCAATACCGAGCTGCACAGAATATAACAAAGTTTGAATTTTTTTTTACAATCAAGTGTGGTTTTTTTTATTTATTTTTTTTTTTTTATTTAAAAAAAAGAATTATAAATCAAGAGCAGTGTAGGGTATACACGTTCAATATAACTGAAATATTTAAAAAGTACATGAAAATACGGTATAAAGTCACATGATTGGTTTTTCATTAAACAATGTGTAAATTTTATATTTAAACAGATGTGGTATTTATCACATTTATGGATTCTCCTATGACTGTAACAAAGATTACCAGTAGAGGTATCACCATTGAGTTATACAATAACAGGGCGACATCTGCCAATTATATCTTTACCAAAACAGTTAACTTAATGCTGATCATTTAATAAAACAGTTTATATGGTGGTCAAGTTCCCCGCGTAAACTTGGGCACTTCGCCTGCTATCATGATATGCCTCAAATATAAATCTCCTGTCTACCCTTACTCTAAAGAAAGAAAACCTGTGACATTCCAATGTCAGGTATATAATTATTTAATCCATGGTAGGGCGTACCATAGACACTGAATCTTAAAACCCTTTCTGATGTACGACTATAGGACTTCCCCACCAACTAAACCATTCTGAACCCTAAGGTTGCCACTATGTTCTACTGTTTTAACGGGGGTATTCATTCCAAATCCACACATCAACGGGATTGTAGGTGCATTGCCCAAGTGAAGTAGAGTATTTGTAGCCCATGCAAATTTCCCATTATTAAATATACCTAATAGAAAAAAAATAGAGATTAGGAATAAAGTATTAAGACTCGCCAGTGAGTGTAAACCCTAGCAATCTCCCTAATCTCTAAACTCCCAACCCTCCTATCCCCTTAATCAATGTCTTCTCCCTTCGCCGGATATTCTCTCCATTGTCACCACTGTTCAACATGCCTTTCGCCTGTGCCGATTTTATTGAGGCCCATAGGGCCTCTGCTGTATGAATCTCCTCTATGCTATGTAGCCACTGTTCCTTAGTGAGAATCTCTACTTGTTTCCAAAAAACAGGTATCGTAGCTTTTGCTGCGTTAAAAAAAGTCTCAAAATTATTTTAATTTTTTTTATATTCGGAGATTGGCAAAGGTGTAAGATGTAACACCTGTTCCATTACAAACATTGGGGCCTCCCCAAAAAGAATATAACAAAGTTGCATCACTGATTCTGATATGTTAAATCAACTGTAGACTGAAAGGGCTATAATGTGCCGCTGTGTAGGGGTGAACAGTATGTGGGACAAACCCCAGCAGTGTGTGAAAAATTTAAGATCTTCGAATTGTGTTAATTAAAAGCCTGCGTTACTTTTACAGATTCTGAAACAGAACTGATGAAGGCATTAAAGTCATGGCAATGAAATCGTTGCTTGAAACTGTGCAACCCATTAAAGGAGGCCTGGGGAATATTTCATATAACATTGAGATAAAACAAGAAATAAAGGACAGGTCATCTTTGATGCTAAGAAAAAAAACTTTACTTTTGAAGCGCTAAGTGGATTTTCATTATGTTCTCGGATATATATTAGATTCCGCTAACCATAATGAATGTCACATTGATGGACAGAGAATACAGTCGGTAATGAAATGTATCTTAAAGACCACCTGCCTATGGCAACGCGTACCCCCTTTCTACTTTTACTGCACTTACATTAAATAAACAGCCACCTGTTTCCTGCACTTTTTCCTCTGATGATCCCTTGACTTCAGTATAACCACAGGTGGAACATTTTATCCATCCTTACAAGTACGCAAGATAATAAAGCTTTCAATTTAAGTCGTGATGTGGACTCGCTTCATTATTCATTTGACGTCTTCAAAAACATGCAGCCCAGTGACTAAAAAGAGGTTGTTGTTTTTTTGTGAATAAGGCTTTGAAAAAAATATTAAGAGACTAAATGATCTTGTACAGACACGGCTTGAACTCAGAATAAAATATCCCCCTTGAAATGTCTAGAATTAACAAAACTAAATAGCTACATTTACCAGAAAGCACTATCTCGGGATGTGCCTCGGCCACATGTTTGTGGCATAATGTAAAGGAAACTGTCATCAAAATGCTTTAATAGATAAATATAATCTGTTACAATATACAATCTCATATTTTTTTTTTTTTTTTATATATATATATTTTTTTTTAATTCACGTATATGGACTTTTTTTTTTTTTTTTTTTAAATCAGTTGCCTGTCTTTTTCACTCCCCCTTTCTGACGGCCATCTTTATGCACCTTAGAATAGACTGTCAATAAGCGAAGCCAATGCTCACTATTTTGCATTGTTTACATGTATTTCACTAAGATTTGTTTGAAATCACTTTGAAGACTCAACGGCTCACTCTTTAGTGAACAGCGCTGTTTCTCTGCAGTTTAGCTGAAAGAGTGCACGTGCCATTTATGCTAGATCAGAGGAGCTAACAGAAGCAGGAAAAAACCTTCCTGGCTGTTTGACTGCCAGGGTGGTGATTTCATAATTAAAGAGACACTATAGTCACTATAGTTTCCTATGGGAAAGCATTGGATTGGCAAAAAATAGGAAGTTATGATGATGACAACAAGGAGGTGGATCAGAGGATTATACGGTATGTTTTAACCACTTATAATGGCCACTGAAATGGCTGTTTTAACACTGTAGATTCATTAATACATGTTTGTGTTCCTGATCCTATAGTGTTCCTTTAATTCTAAAAGTTCCGATTTCTCATTAAAATGGAGTACTCCTCACCCATAGCTGAAGTGATTTATAAGTGTGGAGTGGTCTTTTAATGTATTTTATAATTTTATTTTGACTACTGCTATTTATTGCCCAGTACTGCAGAATATGTAGGAGCGCTATGAAATAATACCAATATATTAAAAAAAAAAATTCATTTTTCTTCCTTTGTTTTATTCACAGGTGCACAAGCTGTAACTCAATAAATATTTGATATTGCGGGGTGGATGTATTAAGAAACAATAGCAATGAAATAATTATAAAAATATCAAGTTTTATTTTATGTAGTCTCGCTTTTACCACTTATTACAGATATCACCGTAGAGCACGTATCTGACAGATTTGTTTTTCTTAATTACCATTTGACTCAAAACACAGGAGCGTACCATATTTCTTTTTGGAGTGGGGTATCAAACGAGAAAATATAGAAAGAAAATGCACACTGCAGCAATAAGTCTTAATGGAATAATCTTAAATGTTATATGGGGTTAGGATTTAGTTTGTATGCATACATTTATGTTTAAAAGGACACTCCATTGGCTAAATAAATATAATAGTTTAGTATATCAGTCCCCAATAAATACTTACATGCATTTTATGTACGTTTTCATTGGGGGTCTATCCAAAGACAGCTTGCAAAAGCTGCAGATCTCTTGTCTGCAGCCTTTGCAATCCAGACTGTCCAATAACAGACTTCCGAGTGCAGTTCAATGTGAAGTCTTTGCAAGGCAGGTGCTGTTGTCGTCCTCCTGAGTTTAGCTTCACTGAGTTTAAACTACCAGGAAGTAACAGGACCGGCTGTCTGATTGACAGCTCGGGGGGTGGGGGTGGGTGGATGTAAAAATATTTACTTATAACATTTCTATTATCTTTTTGTTAAATGAAAAATAAGAAGACCCTTTATTCACACTAAAAACACTTCAGAAAGTTTTAGGGGTCTGGAGTGTCCCTTTAAATAATGTCTTTCTTTTGCAGAATATATATATATATATATATATATATATATATATATATATAACAAGGGGGGGTTGGCTGCACTCACCTGAACATGCATAAATGGGGGTGCTGCTGGGGGCCAAATAATACAAAACACAAGATCTAGCGCACTCACCTATCCACTAAACAGCAACTTCAATGTTGAAAGATTTTATTAGTTTTTTTTAAAAACACCTAATCTAGGCAAAAATAATGGGGGTTTAGTTACATTATATGATCATACATTGCATAAGCCTGCCACAACGTCAATGTACCCCATCTTTGGCAGGTCCTACACTAACAGCCTAATGTCTGCTCTTATGAGATTAACCACTTACTTGAGGAAAAAATTCCATCTGGGGCTCTCTGCAGTACAAGGCTAAATAGGGCCCTGGGATGAGGCACCTGTGACAGGGAGGGGTGCAAAACCAAGGAGTTGGCTAGACTCCCAAATATATACATATGAAACAAGGGGGGGTTGGCTGCACTCACCTGAACATGCATAAATGGGGGTGCTGCTGGGGGCCAAATAATACAAAACACAAGATCCAGCGCACTCACCTATCCACTAAACAGCAACTTCAATGTTGAAAGATTTTATTAGTTTTTTTAAAAACACCTAATCTAGGCAAAAATAATGTATGATCATATAATGTAACTAAACCCATTATTTTTGCCTAGATTAGGTGTTTTTAAAAAAACTAAAACTCTTTCAACATTGAAGTTGCTGTTTAGTGGATAGGTGAGTGCGCTGGATCTTGTGTTTTTTTTATATATATATATATATATATATATAGTAAAGTTCTCATTTTGAAAATAACCAAACCAAGAAGGCAGGAGAAATCAGATACTGACAGGATGATTTACTAAAGTGAGAATTAAAAGTGAATTTTCAATTAAGGCCAAAACAGCCATGGCAGTAAATCCCCATAGTGTCCCTGTTTAGCAGGCACAGTTCCTTTTTGTGCCTTAATCCCTCTGTCCCTCATTTCTATCCTAATATCCCTCTTTCTGTGGAGCTTCCATATTGTTGGTGTGTCTGAGTGTATAAAAGAGCCCCTGGCCAGACCTTCACTCACACCGAACATTAAAGTGTCCCTCCTTGTCCATTTGAAATGTTGAGAGGGATGTAGCAGAGAATGTTTCCAGTTCACATTGAATTTTCATTTTTAGTAAAGCACACTAAATACGTTTAACAATGTCCTATTTAATAGTGTGAATGTTTAAGGAATTCAAAGTACATTTAAAATTTAAGGTCAAAATGAAAGATATTTTCCAATTTGGCTACAGTGGCCAAAAATGCAAAATTGGCTTTAAATTCCCAAGTGTTCACACTTTAGTGAATAACTTGTCTTTGTATACCATACACACTGGAGTCTTACATTGTGTTTATAGGTCTTGTAAATGGTACACCAAACCCCGCGCAGTAGCGATCATTCTATATGAAAAGACCATTGCACTATATGCGTTTTAAAATATCCATCTACGAGGAACATTCAATGATAAGAACCACGAAGAGAGCTGCTGAATCGATGACCTGCATGGTAGATGTTACTGAAAATGTTTATTTTTTTTGCATGGCTTTCTAATTACACCTGAAATGGACAGTATTTCATGGATTTCTGCTGCAAAAACAGCAATGTGTCTCACTCTAGCTATCATTTACCACCAGTTGTCCTGGTGTTATAGAGGCAGCCACTAAGGGGACATTTCAGCCGTCCGCCTTGATGGCCAGCACCACTGAGAGTTGTCATGCTCAGAGTGCTGCTAAATTTCACATGGACCGAGTGTGAAGACGTCTAATCATTGACACTCTGTAGACTTGATCTTTGCTCTTCCCAGAAGCAGCAAACCTGGGTTGATGGGAGAGGAGACTGAATTCAGCACTGTCCTGCCAAACCTGGGAATGTCAGAAGGGACGAATCTGCCCAAAATCATAAGTGAATCTAGACCATGGGTAGGCAACTTTCGGCACTCCAGATATTGTGGACTACATCTACCTTGATGCTTTGCCAGCATTATCGCTGTAAGATCCTTATGGAAGATGTAGACTACAACATCTGGAGTGTCGTAAGACTGTAATCTGGATCCTAAATGTTACAATCAGTCATTGGGCATGAAGCCTACCTGCTGGTTCAATGTAACCATGCTTTAATAGCTGTAAGAATGCTCTGTACTACTTAATCAGTCTATTACCAACATCTTTCCTCTACGTGTACATGTCCAGAGTGTACAGCAGATAGCACTTCTGATGCCACTAAACCAGATACTGAATCAGGAACTATGGTATGACAGGGTGAAAGTCAATTGTGGCGGGACCCGCCCCGCCACTGGACCTTGGAGAGGCCTGGCTGCCCGCCTCCTACCTGCTCACTATGGCCCCTGGTAAATTTTGTACTTTTAATGCAATATTTGGGCATGTGATATTTTATATTGCTGCTACTGGCCCTTTTTAAGGGCCATCCGGGGACATATTATGACTTTTAGGAACAATACCCCTTTAAGACTTGGTAGCAGATTACAGTAAGGATGTCTTTTATATTATGCATGTTTCTGTGTGTTCGGCTAAATTGTATATGTGTATGCAGCATTCCCCTGATTGTTCGGTAGAACCACTCCATTCATTATATTGAGTGAAACTACCGAACAACCAGACCAACCAGGAAGAAGTGTGCCTCCAATTACCGTTTGCAACAATGTTGCAAATGGGTAATTGGCAATCGATGTAATGTGTGGTTTTGTCCTCTGGGTGGCCGCCATTCGGGAAACGAACACGTGGTGGCGGCGGCCATCTTAAACTCCCGAACAGCGGTGTTTTGCCGTCGAGTGTCTGGATCTAAAATCGGACACTCGATTAGGCAAACACAGCTGAGACCTCCAGACTTCCATGAATTCGTGTGGAAACTACCGAATGACCCGCCGTTCGGTAGAAAGAACCCCACGAACAAGGGAATTTGTTTAAACCCTCCCCAGGCTCTATAACCCAGGCAATTCGTGTGTTTTCATTCCCTTTTCTGTGACCGACTGCAGGGCCAAAATACATGGAACTATTTTCGGATACTTTTGCCATGCAGTCGGTCAAAACTTTAACCCTCCATAATGCCCGAACCCCTGGTCCGATCTGGGTGATTTTTGGTTATGTATCTCACCCAGATCAGGGCTACCAGGGGATGTAACATTTAAAGGGGTAACGCTATGTTTAGGGGTACATCCAGTAACCCAGGGAATTTGTGTCTGTACTAATGGGATTATGTGTCACACTAAGGGGAGGAGATGTGTGGGAGGTAACTGGTACATTATTGGCTGGGGTACTAATTGTTGTGGATCCCTCCCTTGCATGGGAGAATGTCTTAAAAGGAGGTTGTGTGAATAAATCTGCAGTTCCTGCTTAATCCTCAAAGTGAAGTGTCGTCTCATTATTGGGGAAGGATTTATTGTATGCTGTTCCAGTTTGACTGCTAGGAGTCTAAACCCATCCGTATGGTTTTTGCCTATTCAGCTGTTTATAGCATTCATATGCTTGAGAGAATGTATATGCTTCTCCGGTTCGGTGATTGTGGTGTCTGCCAGAGTGCTTGGAGTCCTCAGGAAACACTAGGAGCATCCTTTAATGGAGGTTACACCAATACCCTGTATATTTTAGTTATTCTGCTCTTGCTCGCAGCCCTACCCCTTATAACCGGAGTTGTGGAAGATAACGTGAGCCATGTCACAAGCAGCTCCATCCATTTTGCCATTCACTATGGAGATACAAGCTGATTTAATTTTCTCCATAAATGAACTGAATGTTTCAGGTTTTGGCTGTAGGGCCCAGCCACAAATCAAGAAAAAAAAAAAAAAAAAAATAAAATTCACTTTGAGATACCCTTTTGGTTTGAGTTTTCTTATCCCTTGAGGACAAATTTTATGATACAACGGTGCTCACACATCTGTCATTGAGGGGTTTTAGGGCACACTATAGACACGAGGGTCTATAGCATATACCTGCAGGCTTTTTTTAAATGAATGCTGCCTTTTCGTGTTTACATTACTGCCTAGTAATATATCTAGTGGCAATCATTCAGATGACCACTAAAGGTTTTTCACTACCTTGCATTGCAGTATTCTTCCTACAGTGAAAGTTACAATTCCACAGCTAAATCAATGGACTTCCACCTCTAGATCAACTGAATGTTCCTTTTGTTTTCTGCTCCTAAATATGAAACTATAGAAATGGAGTACATCACAGTCAAGAATATTACAAGTTATAATTACCGAAAGGGGAAAAAAAGCATGAAGTGGACTTTTGGTCTATATTATTAGGAATGTTATTCTCCGTATTTTGCTCTAGATATAAAACGTGAATTGAAACTCAATGTCATGAATATAAAAATTTACCAAACAAGAAACGGTCGTGAATTATGCAGAGAATTACACGTTATGCCTCAATTTGGGAAAATATAGATTTATTAATTTTTTAGGTTGTTTCTGGTCTAAAACTGTACTTTACAGATTTCAGGAACCTATGTGTTTTGTGTGGAGTAAATGGGCCAGGAAGGACTTTGAGGCTTTAAATTAATTGTGAAACGCGTTGACCTGGGAAGAACAGATCATTCTGTGTGACAATATGTTATCTTGTTGTGGTGGGTAAAGACAGGAATGAGAGGGAACAAACCTTGGACACCACAGTTAGACCGCTTTTCCAGTTGCAAAATTGTGGACTGAAAATCTACTAGTTTTACACTATATCATAGGCAGGACAAGTGAAGTCACTTAATCACTGCCTCTTTATAGTTTGTGGTTGTTCTTGAGTTGAGGGTGGGGTAACAAACTAAGCTGCAAAACTGCACTGATTTGAGATTATAAAGACAAACAGTGTGTAATAGTAACATTCCGATAACTGTGCGTCCATAACTATGATTGTATACTGGATATTAAATTACACAGAAATGTCAATACGGCATTAGAAGACACAAGAAAAAAAAAAAA